CATTGTCTGCTGCATTACATTGGGACGCCCACTACATACCTGATACTACTGCTAGAATTTATTTTTACTTCTCTCATGACCAATGGCTGGGCGGAGTGTCACAAGCAAGAACATACTGTATTTTTAGAGGGTGCGAGAGCTACTCGTTTGAGAGCGGGCAGCAGTTTACATTTGCAAAGACCCGCGGCGTATTCAAAATACTCGTAAACTTTTGCGTCACTAATTCTATGCGATTGCCCCTCCAGAAACTTCTGCTCTCCATGCAAACATGGGCGGGCCAGCATCGGATCCTTGCTTTTCCAATCGAAATGCCGGTCAACATGGCTTCGTTTGCAAAACGTGCGCATAAAACGGCAGACACTTAGGGGACGACTGACCTAGCTTCATCCACCTTCGTGCATTTCCACCATCTCTGGTCTCTATTGGCGCATGATGGATCTCATCTCTCCAGACTCATGACTCGACGCATGTCAGAACTCGTAACGCTATCTGGTTCCCCTTGTGGCCCCCAAAGTACTGAAAATTAATAATAACGTTGCGCACAGAACTGGCCTAGAGATATTCTTCAATAATACCGATGATGAAGTATGGATCTTGAACTGGCCCATCTCTGTTGCAGAACCCCGCCTGTTGTGGCTGTGGCGCAATCTGGTTACTGACCATCCAATATTTGTCCTCTCTTCTTTTCCGCATCACACTGTCTTCATCTATTGCGTCAATCTTATCGTTCTCTTGCAGTGAATGTCAATGCACAAATGCCGAACAACACACTGAAACAAAAGTACCAGTTTCATCAATGGAATGCCAAGAATTCTCTGGAATGCCAAGTTTAATATATTATTCAGTATCATAGCGACACACAGCTTAATAATCAAATTATATTTATGAGTTATTTTTAATGCCTGCTGTCGCATTAACCCATTATACGCACTTACAAAATTATGTGTCAATAATATACTCTGGCGGATTTTGTAAAATCACTAGTAGAGCCATTGATAATGCTTCAGTTTGCAAAAAGGAAATTGTACAGGAATGGAACATGATCTAATTACTTTTTCGAACTTTTCACGCTTTTGTCAAGCAGGAAATATTCCGCAACCGGTGGTATTGGTGCTTCATGTTGGGAAATAAACGGTCTAGTAGTACTACACTGGAACTAAAAATTATTTCAAGGTAGAAAAAACCTATACTATATGCGTAGAAAATATGTATCCTTCTTTCCTTAACTTTCAGCCTATCCTTTCAGTTGCCTTTAACTTTCTTAAAGATGTTCTTCCACAATTATATTGTACTTATCTATATATTTAGACAATTGTTTGCCTGATAAAAAACAAGCAATATGCTTGAGAGACATAGCCTTTCCGATAAAATGTGTTTCTTCCACCTTATATCGGTGGCCCATTATCCTGTGAAAATGTCTTATCTCATTCCATGAAAGTCGATTTCCCATTCTAAACATTGGACGTTCAGAAACCCACCTTTTCCACATCTGATCCTTAATGTTGGAAACTGCAGTCAAACATGTAATGATAATACTACTTTCTGGAATGAAACTGGAAGCTTTACTGTAATAGAACTGCTGATAGTGTAAGAGGTTAAATTATCATTGTCAAGTGACATCTTTCCATGTGGTACACTCTACACAATTTAAAACACCTCTGAGTACACTCTTAATTTGATCTTTTACGTCGTCTTTAGTCAGATTTAAGCACATTCATTATTTTCTATTTCATCCATTTAATGTACGACTTCAACTCTAACTATTTGCGTAAGTTTTGTTCCAGTTTGTTATCCATCTTACTCAAACAAATACTGGAAGTTAATCACTCATTAAGTATCAACTAAATGTACTATTATAATTTCATTTGAATGCAATAAAAAAAGAAAATCACGCGATTTTACTTTTTTATTTCAACTAGAGAGTGTTGACGTATTCTGTGAATGCTTGCGCTTAGTCTTTACTTTGAACGGCCTACAGATCCTAATTACATCTTTATTTTGATTGCAAGTACTTTTAAAATATTATTTAATTTTGTAGTTATTAAACCAACACATATCTATTAACATTGTGACTGGAAGTCATTAGTCCAACAACCATGATCTGTATTTAAACAATCTTTAATTATGTCAAACCCACATTTTCTGTGTATAGGCAGGTAAAAGGGGTAGTGGAAAAGTATGAATGTAACCTATTTAGTTTCTTATCAAAAAATTGTGCTTGTCATTATCGATAATAAATCTTGACTTAGAGCTGTATGTCTTTCTATTTAACGACAATCCAAACGCACAGCTCTCATTAGAAAACATATGAAATACAAATAATGCAAATTTCAGAATACAATCAGTGAATATTTTCAATAATTGAGAAATTACAATCGGAAAGGATTTTCTTACACAATCATAATTTCGGCATATGCTTAAGCAGAGATTACAATTTCAATATAAGATGGACCACAGCAAAATTACATGAATTTCTCACCTAAATACATTATAGGCATATTTATGGTAAAAGATTAAAACAATCATTCATAACATATATTTTTAACTCAAAATTGTCAGCTCTATCTACATTCTCCTCCTGCTTACAGCGTTCTTACTATTCTGCTATTGACGGTTGAAACGCAGCACGGTTCACTTTCGTTGGTACCTTATCTGATAAAACACATGTTGGGGAATTGTTCCATGATGACATTAAAACAAGACTTTCATGTTTGTGTCCTTGCTTCAATCAAAACACTGAGTGTATGTCCTCTAATATTTGTCAACTGACTCCATTTCCCATCCTCCTCCACTTTCATTTAAACAAGAGACAGTGACTTGTTCACTCGACCTTATTCCTTCTTCACTGTACGGCAAAAATTATTTAATATCATTTACACTGTAAACAATACAAACATTATGTAACAGCAAAACACTTTGTCAAAATAATTTTGCGTAACATCCTTAATTATTCGTTAAGAGAATATAAGATTAAATTCAAGCAGAGATTGTCAAAACACCTGTCAGCAAACTCACCGATGGTATATTAACGAGCTGTTCATTAGAACGCAATAGTACCTCTAATATAGTAGTTTCAATGCTTTAGAAGATTATTTTTGCGAACATAGTTGATCGGTATGCTCCTTGGATCCATTGATTTTTAGATGTTTCTTCTTAACTCAGTCATTTCTTCGTTTTAGCTGCACAATTTTTTTCCCTGATAATTCGCAATTGCCTCTCTTTTCTCATTTATTTGCCATCTTGCATACTATTGGCAAATGCATCTCGAACTTTCCCATCTTACGCATTCCACCAAACGTCCCATCGCACAAACTATCTTCGCTAACTTGTCTCAAAGACCCAAGGATCATCGGAGGTAGCGTTGCAAGTCCCTACTCATGTGTTCGAGACGACTGCAAATCATTATTGCCTTCATGGTCCGCTTAGGTATTTATTAATCTGTTTTAGAATGCTTTCAACGCCCAGACAAAAGAATCTCGGGTTTTTCGCTACGTCTTTGTCCAGTCTTGACACGTTTCAATATTGTTTGCCCTAAAAAGGTAATAGGATAGCGACATAATGTCTTGAGGTAAAACTAGGTGAAATGGTTGTTGTTTTCAACTGAGACCGCCAATTTTTGAATGTTCTTAGGCGCAAATGGTTCCAAGTGTTCCCAGGTGGTCTTAAGCATTTTCCAACTAGGAAGCGCTGCGAAATCTCCATACTGTCAACAAAATAACACCACCACAAAAAGTGATACGCCAAACAGCACGTACTTTCCTCGGATATCGTGCGTGCGAGGAGGATGTTCGAGGTGGTAAACTTAGGGTTTTTTTTTATTATAACAATATAAACAACTTAAAATAATAAAACTCTCTCTCACCCCTAACCTTTTACAACGTAGACCCCTTCTTTTACCCATCGACTTACATTAATTTTCGTCAGGCGCTGTTTCCTAGCCAAGAATGTTGATTATGAACAGAAATACTTTTAATAAATATAAAGAATACTTTTTAATATTATATTAATCGTTTACTCTATTTTAAAATGCACGATATCAGCAAGACTATAATGACGGCAGCCGATGGTTCCGCCAGTAATACTAAAACTAATAATTTTTAATTTACGTCTAATGGCCGTCGCGGAGCATCACACTTTGAATTCAATAAACAGAGAGCTTGTTTTCGTTTAAAACGTTTGAACTTTAAAAATAAAGTATCGCCAACGCGCTTCGTTTCTTGAGAATTTTTAAAATAAAATAACTAAAAATGTTGCATTTGACAGTGTCAGACATCGAAAATTTCATTACAATAGTATTACATAACCATTAACAATATCACGAGAAGTACGGTGCTGTATTGGCAGTATTCACTTTTTGGTAGCTCACAGGCGTGCTGTTTTATTTGTTGACATTATGGAGATTTCCGCAGCGCTTCCTAGTGGAAAATGCTTAAGACCACCTGGGAACACTGAACCATTGGCCTAAAACTTCAACAATTGGCGCTCATGAAAACAAAACACATTTCACCTAGTTTTACCTCAAGACATTATGTCGCATCCTATTAACCTTTTTAGGCAACAATATTGAAAATTCAAGATGGACACAGACGACGAAAAACCCCGAGATTCTTTTTCTGGCGTTGAAAGCATTCTAAACAGATTTAATAAATACCTAGCGGACCATGAAGCAATGATTCGTGTTCTCGAACACATGGAGAGGGACTTGCAACGTACCGTCCATGATCTTGAGTCTTTGAGACAAGTTAGCGAAGATAGTTTGTGCGATGGAGTTTGTGGAATGCGTAAGATGAAAGTTCGAGATGCATTGCCATATATGCAGATGGCAAAAATGAGAAAAGAGAGGCAAATTGCAAATTTCAGGAAAAAAATTGTGCAGCAAAACGAAGAAATGACTGAGTTTAAGAAGAAACATCTAAAAATCATGGATCCCAAGGACATACCATCAACTAGTTACGCAAAAAATCTCTAAAGCCATTAAATACTATATTAAGGTACTTTGCGTCTAATAACATCTCTTAATATACACGGTGAGTTTGTGACAGTGTTTGACAATCTGCTTGTAATTTAATCTTTATATTCTTAAACTAATAATTAGGATGTTAGCAAAATATTTTTGACAGTAGTTTTGCTTTACATTAATGTTTGTATTGTTACAGTGTCAATGATATTAAATAATTTTGCCGTAAAGTGAAGAAGGAAATATTGATAAAATCATTCAATGTGTTTAATGAGTGGGAGAATGGAAAGTCATTGACCAAATATAAGACACTACACTCAGTTTTTGATTGAAGCAAGACACAATACAATCTTGTTCTTATGTCATCATGAACAATTCCCCAACATGTGTTTTATCAAGATAAGTCACCAACGAAAGTGAACAGTGCTGCTTTCAAACCTCAATAGCAGATAGTAAAGACCTGTAAGAGGAGGGAATGTAGATAGAGCTGAACAATTTTGAAGTTAAAATAATGTTTTGAATGATGTTTTAATCTTTTACATACAATATGCTATAATTATTTGTGAAAATTATGTAATTTTGCTGTGTCCATCTTATAATGAAATGTAATTCTGCCTTAAGCATATCAAATTATGATTGTGTATAGAAAAATCTTTCACGATTTAATTTCTCAAATTATTGAAAATATTACTGATTGTACTTTCCATTATTGTATTTTCATAGTTTCTAATGAACTGTGCTTTGATTGTCTTAAATAGAAAGATACAGCTCCTAAGTCAAGATTTATTATCGATAATCACATTTGATAAGAAACTAAATAGGTTACATTATATTTTCACCCCCTTTTACCTGCCTTATAACAGAAAATGTGGTTTTACAAATTTAAAAGATTGTTTAATACATCATGGTTTGTTGACTATGACTTCCAGTCACAATGTTATAAAATGTTGTTTAATAACTACAAAATTATAATTTTTAAAGTACTGCAATCAAAATAAAAATGTAATACTGTACCGTCAATAAAACTAAGCACACCATTCACACAAATCATAAGTTGAAATAAAAGTAAAATAACGTGTTTTATTTTTATTCATTCAAATGAAATATAATAGTACATTATGTTGATTTAATGAAGTGATAACTTCAATATTTGTTTGAGTAGTGGATAAACCAAACTGGAACAAAACTACGCAAATAGTAGATTGAAAGCATGTACATTAAAATGGATGAAATAGAAATAACTGGATGTGTCTACACTAAAGAGACGTACAAAAAATCAAATTAAATGTATCTAGAGGTGTTTTATTTATAGGTTAAATGAAGATTCACTTGACAATGATAATTTAACTCTTACACTTCAGCAGTTCTATTACAGTAAAGCTTCCAGTTATCATTCCAGAAATAGTATTATCATTACCATGTTGACTGCATTTCCAACATTAAAATCAGATGTGGAAAAGTGGGGTTTCCTGAAGTCAATTTAGAATGGAAATCAACTTTCATGGATATGAGGAATAACATTTTTCAAGATATGGCACAGATATAGGTGAAAACAATTTTATGAAGCCTATTTCTCACATTTGCTTGTTTTTATCAGGAACAATTGTTAAATATATAAAATACAATATTGTGAAGACATTTTAAGAAACGTTAAGGAATGAAAGGATAGGCTGAAAGTTAAGGAAAGAAAGGATACATATTTTTACCATAATATAGTTTTTTCTACCTTGAAATAATTTTAGTTCCATGTAGTACTACTAGACCTTTATTTCCCAAAAATGAACACATACCACCTGGGAATATTTCTGCTTTGACAAACGTGAAAAGTTCGAAAAATAATTAGACATGTTCCATTCCTACACATTTCTTTTGCAAACTGAAACATTACTCCAATGCTCTACTAGTGATTTTACAAAATCCCAGAGTTATATTGTTGACACATAATTTTGTAATGCATTATCGTTAATGCACAGCAGCATTAAAATAACCTCATGAATATAATTTATTATTAAGCTGTTGTCGCTATGATACTGAATAATAATAATTGCATTCCAAGAATTCTTGCATACCATTGAATGAAATGTTTGTTTCAGTGTTTGTTGGTTTGTCATTGACATTCACTGCAAGAGAGACGATAAGATGACCAATAGGAGAAGTTGATGGAAAAAGAAAGAGACAAATATTGGTGTCAGTAACAGATGCGCCACAAGCCACAACAGGGGGGTTTAACAGAGATGGGCCAGTTCAAGACCATCTTCAATACTATTATTGAAGATATTCTAGGCCAGTTTGCGCACATTATAATTTCAGTATTTGGGGCACAAGGGAACAGATAGCGTTAGTTCTGCATCGTCGAGTCATGATCGAGAGATGTCATCCATCCATCGCCATAAGACCAGAGCATGGTGGAAAGACAAGGGTGAGCTAGTCCGTCGTCCCTAGTTTGCTCGTTTTATGCAGCACGTTTATCACGAACCATGTGACCATTCGATTGGAAAGCAAGATCAGATGCTGGCCGCCATGTTGCATGGAGAGCATGAAGTATTGAGGGGCACTCCATAAATTACGTGACGCAAATTTAGAGTATTTTGAA